TTCCTCTGGGAGGCTCTGAGAATGTTTTCAAACGTCTACATTTCAAAAACGCAGGACCTGTTGTCTTGATCCTTTATGTTACTTCGCTAACTCTCTACTCCATAAAACACAGCAGGGCAACGTGGCTGGGTCATTGTGAATTTCTTCTGACGGCTAAATGAGAAAGCCTATCGTTACCTTGGGATAATACAGGAGGTGGGATAATTCAGAAGCCACGTGAGCTCCTTGTCCTGACGGCACACGCATTGCTTCCATCAGCTTCACTGGATTTGAGCATGAATACAGACGTGCTACAGCTCTAGCAGGATCCTTCTCAGGCTCATAAAAGCCATGAAACATTTCAATATATTCATTCTGCCCTCAACTTCTACAGCTGTGCCTTAGAACTGCACCTCGCCTGTTCCCACAGTCCTGAGCACAATCATATTAAGCAGCAAGCAAAGGAATTTAACTCTGAATTTGCTCGCATTTCTGAATTTAAAATCAGACGTAAGAGGTACATAAATCTAATTCTAATTTCTTTTATGTAAATTCAAACCACATGGAGAAAACAAAAATTCGTCATTCTGTTTGTTTGGGGGCTTTATAAACCGACACCATATTAAGTTATTTAAGGCCAGTAAAACTTAATGGGAGTTATTCTTGCTCTTGCAACAGTGTTTGCTGCAGGAGATACTTCCAGAAGGGTGGTGAAGTCATTGCCTAATGTCTCCCCTGAGACTTCCAACACATAATGGGAGACTTTTTCCTTCTCTTCCAATGTTTTTTATTGACGTAGAAGCATATTTACTTGATAAAAGCAGAGCAGCTGCCTAGTGTCCCTCGGGAATACACCCTTGCTAGGGAAGGTTTTAGCCCCCTCCCAAAAGTTCATTGAATTCAGGTTGATTTAATATGCTGAGAAACCTTCCCATTTGAAAGAAAGTTACTTTCTACTTGCAAAGTCATTGTTTTCTAAAGCACTGTCCCTCTTGGGAGAAAAGGAAAGGCAGTATAAAAACCCTCTGGGACTATCATGTGGTAGTCAATAAAATTGCCTGTCCTGAAATTTTCACTTTAAGCTTTTGAATGAAGGAAAATGGAAGTGTAGGAACAACCCATGGAACAGTTTTTAGGGTACCAACAAGATCCATACCTTCTATCCAAGGAATTAAAAATAATTATATACAAAAGTAATTGTTCTACATTACTTATGAGGAAGACCTTACTAGAATATCAACTTTTATTTTGCCTGTCATGGTGTTCATGTAGCTCTCCATTTATTTTTCAAAGGTTTTGGTACAGACTTTTGCTTTACCAGTTAAATTTTCCAGGCAAAATAAGTCATCAACAAAAAAAGTGTGCTGTCGAGAAATATCACATAAAAAATCACTGATTTTTTTTTTAATAGATATTAGACAACGCAGTATAATTATTTGGCTGACAGGACTAAACCAGCCAAACAAACCACAGCAATTACCTGGCTAAAAACCATCACGTCTGCCATAACCTAGATCCCAGCTGGGTACCACCCACCAATGACTGTGAGAAGCAGAGACTGCATGAGGAGATCCAGCAGGTCCCAAGAACCTGATGCGGTGCTCAAAAACAAACAAACAAACAAAAAAATCGAAAAACCCCTCAGCAAACAAGCAAAACTCTAAAAGCATATAAATTATTTGCATATAAGAACGCTCCATCTGTAGGACATTAGCTAATTCCAAATGCTAAAGAGTCAATAAACTGTACCCCAGAAGATATAAAAGAAGATTAGAAGATTGTAAAAAAACATTGGTGAGATTTTCCAGTGGAAGTAATTCCATGATTTCACTCTCTTGGCTAGAAGGCTGCCTTTCCTTAAATGGCTTCTCTTTGGTAGTGGAGCCTTTTCTTCCTTTCTCTTTTGTCTCATTATCTCACCGCATTTACACCTCATTTCAAAAATACAACCGTCATCGATAAAAAAGACTTTAAACCTTCTTTTTTCCCCCACCTTTAAATAAAACTAACTACATTGCTTCGTTTCTGGGTTTAATTTTAAAATTCCTGAAAACTCATCCCGTGCTTTTTTCTGTCTTTATGACCGTCAGATTTGTTGTTTGTGCTTTTTCAGGTGGGCGAGCTGTTCTCCTACCAGTATTCTGCTGTATGTTTAACTGTTACATGCATGCAGGAGGGAGAAGTGGTAAAAAGCTTTCACTAATCTAGATAACAAAATTTCAGATAATTTTTTCAGATATGAACACTGTTAAGTACATTTACTGTAACCAAGGTAAATAGAAAAAAACCCCAACCATGAATATTGTCCTCTTAAACGTGCTCATTGTTAAAAATGAAAGAACAAACTGCAAACATTTCACCCAAAATGTCAAATATGAACGACATCATATTTAAATAAGAAAGCAAGGCCTGAGTGATGAAAATAGGTTACTTTCCTGTGTTTATGTTTGTAGATTACCTTCCGATGCTCATGTTTGCATGCTGAACAGATTTAAAGGGCTACAAGGAAAACACGTCAATTGCAAAGTGAAACAAACTTCCACTGAAATTGAGCAACGTTACAGAAATGAGCACTTCTCCTTTGCAGCACCTTGATTTCAACAGTCTGACAATGATTCTTCCAGCAGACTTTTCACAGCACTCTCATAACCACTGCAAACTGCCTCCCTTAGAACTTACGAGGAAGCACTGAGGACTTTTTCAGATATCAAACTGAATTTGAAATCTTAAACTGAAATTTCCGTGAGCAGCCCTATGTTCCTTTGTTAACAGTGCTTAAAAAAAAATACCAAAACAAAACTTCCCAACACACAATTAAATATATTTTCCATTTCCAGTTAAGGCAAATCAGTCCCACCCAAAATTACTGGTTAAAGAAAATGAGAGTTTTTTTCACGCTGCAGTAAAATAACTACTGTTAATGGTGCAATGGGAGTTACAAACAGATTGTTACTTCCTTGAGGTCAGTTCTGAACACAATCTGGGCTCAGTTTGCATTGTTCTCAAAGCGGACGCATTGCAGGGAAAATCATAAGCACCAAGTCCTGATATGTGTAGATAATTATTAATGTGGTCTACGCACAAAAAAAGGAAAGTGTGACGTGACAGGCACAACAGAATCGCTATTTTCACTCTATTTACCACAAGGAAGAGGCGGCTGGTGAATACATCTCATATCTCATACCAGGAAAAGGTGCCACAATAAGGAGAATTTGAGTACAGCAACTTGAACACAGGAACAAGCTGGCACAGAGAGGGATAAAGGGTGGGCAGACAAGAGATGTCATAAAACTTAATAACCTGTTGGATACTGGAAGCAGCAGGAACTGGCGTAGGAGGGAATCTGGCAGACAGATGTACCTGGGAGATACAAAGGGAGGGTCAGGAGGAAAAGCTGCCCTGCAGCTCTGGATGCTGATGGATGGAATGGCTTGGATAGGGAAGCAGCTGAGGGCCTGTGTTGGGCACAGGAGATACTGCCAGGGAACCAGGAAAGTGTTCCCCTGTGCTGGGGTGCAAACTGTGAAGCTGCTTTACCTTCTTGTATGCTGTAAAATAACGCAGGCTTGAGAAAAAGGTGTTTTCTTGGGTAACACACCTGTCAGACACCCATCACACCGTTAATAAAAGGGGAAAATGACCTTGTGTTTGATGTGATAATACACAGTGTTTGCCGCACGGCTCCATCATCACACACGGCCTCTCAAAAAGGCAGAAGGAGCAGAAGCCAATCTCAAACTTTGGCTCTGCCAACCTGCACCCTCGCTGCCCTCCACGGGCAGCACCGCACAGCGCAGCGCGCAGGGACGGGGTTAACTCGCACCTCGGGGCTCCCTTGG